AAAGTAAATAACATATAGTCAAATGCTAGATATAGCCTAGCTCTTCCCGATGTTATTCGAAAGTTTGGCTTGAAATAACTGCCTCTGCATACGTTGTTTGGTAAATAGGGCTTTCTTTTCCACCTGGCTCATGATCATGGCATTACTAATGCATGTTTGGTATTGCATTTGGTAATTTTACGTCAATTCCCACCTCTTTGATAATCTAGAAGAAAGTGATCATGAATGATTTGTACATAATAATCAGGGTTAAAGAGTAAATTTTAGGAGAAAGATAAAATTTTAACTGCAAAGTGATACTAAAATAGGAGTATATACGGTCATTATTTTTTTCACTACATATATCATTTTCGTAAAATAACATTAGACATTCTCGCCAGCTATATATGTAACATCGATCTTAATTAGATAAATTAAAAAAGGAACATAAAACAAAATGACAAAAACACAGATCAAGGCATTAAACAAAATAGTAAACCCTACATGCGCAACCAAAAAAAATAAAAAATAAAAAAATCAAACAGTTCAAGTAATTCCATCGTATATATCCTACTATATTAGAAACAAAAACCTCCCTTTCAAACACCTCATATGATTGCTACGTGGCATGTAGAAAATACTAAATTGTCCTCTTGTCTAACCATAACTAAATTACTAAATCTCCCTTTGCACTTTACGTGACACGTTTTTTTTTTAATTTTTTCTTTATGTTTCATTCAACTAGAGTGGTTTTTTAAATTGAATTGATCAATTAGTTTTTTTATTACAAAGTGTCAATTTTGTTTTAAGCGTATACCCTTTGGATGAAACTTATTACAAAGCTATTAAAAATCTCCAAAACTAAGTATTGATTTGGCACGACCAATGGAGAACATCAATAAATCATCTTACTAATATTTAAATTTATTAGGATGCTTTTATATTTTATCTAACATTTACTTCAACACATATATTCGATTAAGCTATTTATATTTAATAAGTAACACTTATAAAACATTTCTAAAACATAAATGGCGAAATACAATTTATTTTTTTTTTTGCGAAATACAAATATTTCTATGATCACACTTATAAAATATTTCTAAATCCTTTAAACATTTCTAAAATATATCGCTCCAAATACAAAATTTTATTTTTTTCAAATATAAACATTTCTAAGATCTACAGATAAACTGGGCGCAATGCGCGACCAGACATCACTAGTATATATATATATGTAAGAATTGTCGCGTGAAGTTCGTAGCTTGTGTACGTACGGATTTGATTAGGTAAATTGGTAAAATTAGGTTTTCAGTTACAGCATGATATAATCCATCATCCATTCGATCTGATTCTGTGATTCAATTGGGAGACGAATTTCAGATAAAATTTCTTCCTCAAAAGCTACGCGTGGGCTGAATAGTCAACGTGATGACACCTAAGGATATTGACAGTTTGACTCTCTAGAGATACTCCACACCCTACACACAAATCCGTTGAAGTGTCACAGACTCACAGTAATAATACTACAAAACGTTTCTATATTTTATGTTGGAGAATAATGGCACAAGTGATAGATACAGTGATGATGTATCCAACGGAAAGACTTGACAAACACAAGCGTGCCTAAATCCCAACCGTTATCCTCCCTTCGTCCTAAGAAAAATGGCAACAAATTTGATAATGTCTTACTTTCTTTTGGCAAATTTTACCTACAGTTTGTTGTGTAGGACATATTTATTATATCATTATGACGTCATCCGAGCCAATCTCAATTTGCCCTGAGTCGATTCCCGATTCACTCGACCCCAGCCAACGTCAAGTCGAGCTCCGGTCAGAACCTGACAACACTGGGTTGCATTATCATGGCATGATAAACCCGATGCCGCCTGGATTTGGATTTTAATTGGGCCTTTATTTTGTAATGGGCTTCTTGTACACCGTTACTCTTGTTTTCAATTAATCTCTTCCCATTACGGCATTACCGCCGTTACAGTGTAAACTATTTCCTATTTACACGTAAATGACAATTAAATTAAGCTTCTGTAATTTTACGTTTTCTATTAATCTCTTTTTTTTCAAAAGAAGTAGAAGAAGAAAAAATAACCCTCATGTGATTAAGCCTGGCGTACACTTCACTAAGTGCAGCAAAATATACAAGTTTGAAACCCTCAAATCTTCAACTTTTTTTTCGCTCTTGTTGCTTGACAAATACTACTCCCTCCATTTCAAAATAAGTGTTATCCTATATTTTACACATAGTTTAAAAAACTCTTAAAGAGGGTAATAGAATCACTTGAATATCCTCAACCAAGCCCATTAAATAAATGTCCGTCAATAATATTAATTCTTTCGAGAGTAATTTTGAAAACTTTAGACAAAAAGTACATTTTTATGTGAGAACTACACTTATTTGGAAATTTCTCTATTTTGCTAAAATGACACTTAATTTGAAAACAGAGGGAGTACTAGTTTTAGTTTCTTTTTTGATAAATTTAAATTCTAGCCATCAGAAATCAATAATCATGTCTCAATAAGATATATATAACTTTTCTTTTACAAAATGCGTGATACAGCGGTTGCCCAAAATATCTTCAGAGGTAGCTAGCATGTTATAAGATTTTAGGTACGGTCCTGCTTCTACTTGAACTTATCAAAGTATACTAAATTACTAATTTCATGAATGTTATAACTCTATGTTTTTTTTTTGGAAAATAATACATGATATTAATGGGAAGTACCTATAACTTATTCTATTACATTGACATAAATTATAAGTCATGCTACGTAGATGAAATGTTCTTTCTTGTGGCCATCAATCACTCTTTCTTTCTTTTTTCGTTTTTTTCGAAAGAAGCCATCAATAATAAGTATGTTTGTTTCATTTTTTAGTGTGTATTTTTAGGTGTTTTTTATATTAAGAATGTAAAAAGGTGTATTGAAAATGTAAAAAGATATGTTAGGATGAGACAGTTATTATTTTATTAATCTAAAAAAAACCATAAAAAAACTAAACAAACAAGTTACTTTCTTTCAAGCATAATACTCTAATTTTATCTTGTAAATTACACCTTTTTTTTTCATTCTTTTATAAGTTGTCACTAACTGGAATTGGAAAGATCGAAGGAAGTACTTAAAATCACTCTTACAACTCTTTACAACAACTTATCCAACAAGAAGACAAAATTCAAAATGAGATGATGATTTTTCTGAGCTTTTCATGTGTATGACTTCAATATTGCGCACATAAAACTAAATTCTCCAAAAAGAGAAATACAGGCTAGATATATAGGAATGAAACTCCTCCTCTCATTCAACTGATTTTTACCAAATTCATTATCAACTCATCAAGAAAGAAACACTAGAACAGACACCCTGATTTCCCATGTGCATTTCTCTGGCACTTATTTTTCTATTTCAAAATCATAGTAATTTACACATCCAACTCAAAACACCATAACCAAGACAAAAACCCTAACTAATTGACTTACGTAATGAAGTTATAACAGCCATTCTATAAAACAAGAAACCTCACATTGGGAAGTGTTCATAAAATTCTTTAGTACTCTTCGGATCATTTAATGTGGTAGATAACGCTTCTCAATTTTCCTTCAGTAAACCACATGGTTCTTCCACATATTTCAGGCTAAATTACCCAAAAGAAATGTACAGTACTGTTCATTCCTCATTAAATCCCTCTATCCAGTTTCCTCAGAGATATGATGTACATATATATATCAACTGCAAAGTTAAATTGTTGAAAAGAAGGAAATTTATATGATTAAATCCTAGTGTTCTATAAATAGGTTTCTTTCTGGTTGTTTCATTCCATTCTTTATTCTTTCTGTTTGCTGAGGTGGTGTAAGAGGGCTAGCTAGGTCGTGATGCAATAATATTCCTGTAGTGAATAAATAAGGGAATTTGTGGAATACTTTAATGGATTGATTCCCTTTGTAGTTGTTGGCAAAATTTGGAAGATTTTGAGAAAGGTGGGAGAAAAGTGAAACTAGAGACCACAAGTGTATGGAGTTATGCGGGGGGTTGGTTTGGGAGGTGGGGGATATACATATATATAATCAACTGCAATATTCTGATCATCCTTCTGATTATATATATGATGATGAAGATATAATTTTATTTTTGAAAAATAAAATCACAAGTAAGTACAAAAGAAAAGGGAATCCATGTTGTGTTGTATCTGACTTTATGTGTCCTAGAAAACCTAACTCTGCCTGTCTACTGGTGTCTTCTTCTAGATTAGTTTAGTTATGTAAAATAGAATGTCAGTGAAATACTGAATCGGAAAAGGTGCTCCCTCTCCTGTCAGAATTCCTTTCAGTTTTTTTTAGTCAGTTCTCTAAAAAACACTACTCAAACACATGGCTAATCAGCTCACGTTAAAATTCTCAGAATTTCACGACTGAATATGGTTACGTGTCATACAAAGAAAATGGTCAAAATGTGTCATATGTGCCTGCAACATTCCTTAACCTATGTTTATCGAAATCTGCACATTCACATGATATTATTATATACTATATAGTATGTTCAAAATGTAATTAACATTGAAATTGGTTACGTTCATGACAAATGCAAAGACAAAATATCCATTGAATGAATCGCCATATTGTAAACTGCTGTGAATCACACGCAAATCGAACAACATTCTTTTTCTATGTTATATTTACAAAAATCCGCGCCAACGGGATGACTATCTTCCACCTAGCTAGCTAGCTAGATTAGTTCATTGAAATTACTTTTTATTCCAGCAAGTGAAACATCAAAGCCAATTGTCATCTCTTGTCTTAACCATTTCATTCATCAACAAAAAGTTAAGAAGAGATTTGGATCAGCCCACAAAAAAACAAAACACAAATGTATTTGTTTGTCATACTTTGCTCTGTCTCAAGAAAATAGTCAAGTTCGTTAAACAACAGACACAGGGGTGAATATGTGTATAACAATCATAAATTTTTTCATGGGACAGAGAGAATATTTTGATTAACTTGAGATAAATATCGCCAACACAAAGATAGATAGAGCAAGATTGAAAAGAAACTGCACTCGTATATTCAACTTTGATATATAGAAGAAATTAATCTTAGAATATCTTACTGACAAAGTGAAGAACAATAACCACACACATTAGATTCATATAAGAAAACAACCTATAAATTGTTATCATGAAAATAATCCATTCACAAGTCTTACTTCACACCTTTGGTGGATCACCAAGCCTTAGCTCCAGATCTAAGTCGCTTATTGAGTTAGGGCTCATGAGTAGTTTAGGCATATTTTCTGACTGGGGAAGAATTTTACACCTTTCTACTGGACCGGATTTCATCAGTAAGAAATTGTCATCATTTGAAGAAGTTTCATGATCTATCTTCCGTCTCTTATTACAACTTGGGAAAACGTCTTCATCCTCATCAGGGGTGGTTGTTCGACAAAGAAGCAAATTCAAAGTACTTACAGACGACAAATCGGCTTTGACATATTCTTCTTCTTCTTCTTCTCCTTCATTAGCCCTACCACCAATATTTGATTTGGACATCTTGAGATTCTTGTCTCCAGTATTTGTCAAATCTGAGCCATGAAAGCATTTGTCCGCAACCAAGTTTGACCAAGAAGTTTGGGGTGGTGACATAATATTATTCCTCTTACTATTGGGATAATCTTCAGACAAGATTAATGAAGAAAAGAATGGAGGGTTCAAGTTCAAAAGCTTCTCCTCCAAACCTAAACCTACTTTTGTCGGTGGAGATGAAGATGATGATGAAACCCTAACCGGTTGATGATCAGAACTCTTGGAACTATGATTATGCAATAAAGCAGTGCCACAAATCGGAGGCGGCGGAAACTGCATAGTATGGCTGTGATGAGGAAGAACATGATCAGTACAATTTTGTGGGTTGGGAGATTGCTTTAACCTAGCCCTATCTCGGCGGTGGACATTCATATGGCCTCCAAGAGCTTGAGCTGACTTAAATTCTCTCCTGCAGAAAGTACAAGTGTAAGATCTTGGAGGCCAAACACAAGAACCTCCAAGAGCTCCAGCTGCATCTTCAGCAAAAGCTTGCTCTTCCCATGAATCACCATATGATGAAGCATGATGATTTTGTGATGTAAAAACAGGATGTGACCCAAAATGATCAAGTTTCCTCTTCGTCCACATCCAATATCTTGTTTGCTCCATTAATTTAATTAATTCTCTCAACCAAAAAAGAGAAAATTGAGTGTGAATTTGATTGATGATGATCAGCTATAACTAGCTATGAGGAAAGCTGAATGTTTAGGGCATGAAATTCTTGATTTGTATGGAGAATTGATTGTAAGGAGAATGATGGGAATTAAGGTAGCTACATGAGTATATAATGAAGGGGAATTAGAAGGAGATTGAGTGATGAGATGAAAAACTGGAAGGAAGGTGAAGTGGTGGGTACTAAGTTTGGCAGTATCATATAGCTACTCTTTTGGTTTTTAGTTTGGTCATCAAAAGGGTTGGGGGGCTAATTGGAGAGACAAACAATTCTACTTCAGTTGTACCCAGTACTTATATTCATTAATTTCTGCACATTAGTTTCTTCTTGCACTCAATTTTGAAGTGGAAATGATTATCATTTAGTTAACAGAATAATTATTTTGGGACGGAATGAATATTTTTGTAAAATAAAGTACTGTAATAGTAGGTGGGTCCTATCTATCTTTGCAAGTTAACAACATGCTTGCTAATTTCATGGCAAGTTGGCGAGGCAACACTGAGAACATTTGATTTTATTGAGGCAAACTTCATTTTCTTTTTCTTTTTCTTTTTCTTTTTTTTTAGCAGGGAGATGGGATTAAGGAGCGTTTATAAGCTTCAATATTTTATTTATACGTCTTTTGCATTGAGTTCAGATATTTTGACGTTTTACTGCAAGCTTTAAATGTAACATGCAGAATCTGTAACTATGTTTTGCATCAAGTTTAATTTGTCTCATTCCTTCCTATTAATTTAATCATATTCATGAGCGTTTGTTTCCTGTCCAGGCTTGTTGTTGCTAGTTTCGAATAGTAACAAAAGCACATCATCTCTGAAGTTCTGAATCCATTCTTTTCACGTTAATGGCAAAGCGCAGCCTGCACAACTGGTGCTGATTAATTGTACCATGTTCGTCATCTAATATCGAGGAAAAATGACAGCCAACTAACCATAATAAGCAGAATTACATACTTCCATACACACATTACCCTCGAGCTCAAAGGAAATCCTTTTTTTTTTTTTCCTTTTTTCTTTTTTCTTTAAACCGAATGGAAGTACTAATTTCATCAACAAGATTGATTAAGCAGTGTTGCCAATGATGTGGACACTCAGCCCCTAAGGAAGGTTTAAACCGCCATCTCATGCAAACACAAAATATCTCCTCGACGTTACCAGAAAAAAAAAATTTGTGCCCAATTCCGAAATTCGTTCTATACATATTCTATGAGTGAGTTCACCATCTTAAAACAAGAGTTTTAATTACAGCAATGATACATCAAGTGACTAAATACAGTGAAAATATATAATGACAAATGAAAAGACAAATACACCATCCAATTACTAAAAACATGTCTATTTATTAATTAAGGGTAAAAATGTAATTTTGGGAGAAGATTAAAACTCCAACGGGATAGTAGCAAAAAACTAGAGAACATGATTATTCCACATCAGTCATTATATTTTGTCACTATTTTCATTCACTAAGAGTATCATTTTCCTATTAATTATTATTATAAGAAATGATACAGATAGTAAAAAATTATAGTGAATTTGGATAGTGACAAATGAAAAGACAAATATACCACGCACTTACTAAACATGTCTAGTTATTAACTAAGGGTAAAAATTTAATTTTCGAGAAAAAATAAAACTTCAACGGGAAAATAGTAAAAAACTAGGGGCCATGATTAATCCACATCAGTCACTATGTTTTATCACTATTTTATTCCCTATATATATATATATCATTTTCCTATTATTATAGACTTAAAATAAAATAATTATTGCTTCTGTCCTTAAAAAAATAGTACATTTTGAATTTTAAACTTGTATTAAAAATAGTATAAATCTCGTACTACCGTTTAGGGACAAGGGAATAATAAAAACAATTCTCATATACTATGTAAAACCCTACATTTACATTGACATGCATTCTTTCGGAATTGTGGTATGACGTTTTCAGTTACCATTGACGACTTATACTTTCTAGCCCAATTATAGCGTCAACTAATGCCGCTAGATACTCGTGTGCAACAATCTTTGACTAAATTCATACATTAGGACCTCGATCAACATCATACATACCATGATTTCCGGCTTGCCCTTGATGCGCAGGGAAATATTGATTAACACTTTTCCTTCTCATTTTAATAGCTCATTTTCGTTAGATAATAACAATACAAAAATTATTAAAATAGGATGACGTAAATAATTAAACTTACCTAGGTCATCAATTAAATTACAGGAAGGATGTGGCAACATTCAGTCCCTAGCTAGCTATATTCACTAATACAGTACTACCAAAAGGGGTTGTCCCCTCTTAATTTGACCATTTGATTAACGCCTTAACAAGCGATGAGTTTAAGATAATGCATGCTTCAATAACACTTGAGGACAACCCCTGATCGCAGGAACAAGAAAACTCACGTGAAATTACTTCCGCATCATTTTCAGATTTTTTGGGCCAAAATGTTTTGGAGCCTAATATTTTGCGGTCCTTGAACTAAGGAGACTTCAGTTGAATCAGGGAAAACTACAAGTATTTGTTTCTAACTTTACATAAAGGACAATAATGCTAATTAACGTGCATTTAAACTCTGACGATTTCGTGCTAGCTGCATTAATTTGTGCAATAAGAAGTGCAAGCTAGGTTTATTTTATTTTATTTTATATTTTTGTCTTCTAGATTTAATCGTCACAGATGTGGCAAGATTCATTGTGTGGTAGTTTGTATCATATATACGGTCCACTCGATGCTACTAGCTCACCGTATGAGAAGACCACAAGTCTATTATTTCTTCTGACTGCTAAAATTCTCACATCTTCTAAAAAAGAGTTATATATTTTCGTATAGTATTGTTCCACAATGAAAATTACTGGTAAAATGATATTCTCTCTATTCTAGAAAATAGTCAATATTTTTAATTGCGAATGACATTAAAAATAATACAATTTTTAATTTGTAATATTTATTACTACCTTTCTAGAATAGAGAGAGTAAGTTTATTGAGAAATGGCTGTTTTATTTAGGGAGAATGCAATTGTATAACACCACAAGTCTATTATTTTTTCTGACAGCTAAAATTCTCACATCTTCTCAAAAAGAGTTACTCCCTCCGTCCCATAATTATTGTCCAGTTTTACTAAAATGAAAGATTTTATTTTTTATCAAACTTAACTATATTTTACCTTAAACAACCGGATATACCCCTACATAAGTAATTCTTTAACCACTAAGATTTTATGGATAATTTTTTTACTAAGGACAAATGTGTAACTTGAGCCATAAAAAGTCAAATTGGACAATAATTTTGGGATAAAATTTTTTGGGCAAAGTGGACAATAATTATGGGACGGAGGTAGTATATATTTTCGTATAGTATTGTTACACTATGAAAATTATTGGTAAAATAATATCTTCTCTGTTCAAGAAAATAGTTAACTTTGTAAATTGGGAATGATATTAAGAACAATGTAATGTTTAATTTGTAATATTTACTTTTCTAGGATAGACATAGTAAGTTTATTGCGAAATGGCTGTTTTATTTAGGGAGAATGCAATTGTTCAACACCAGTGACGGATAGGATTTGTGTATGTTTAACTCTTAAGATGGAGAATCTTATCCCCTTTTCTGCCAGATTTGAACCAAGAAATTATATTGACGGGTTGTTATAATCCTTTTAATTAAAACAACTAGGGACAAAATAGAAAACGGAGTGCTTTCTGCGCTCCTGGTCAAGATCAAGTCTTCAATTTGACACGTACACATCCAAAATATATATTTCTTTTTCCAGGGATTATAGACAACCTGTTTCTCGATCTTTCAGAATCCGGATAGTAATTAGGGTTTCGCATACAAGCTAGACTGTATCTTTTTTGTTAAAAAATAAAAAAAATAAATAATGTAATGATAATAATTTTGTTAAAGAAAAAGACATGCTGTGCATTGTTATATATGATGATACTAGAAAAGTGAAAAGGGGACAGCAAGAGCCAGCAAGCGCACTCCCGACTGCAGCCGATCGGAAAACAACAAAACGGACCAGCGATTTCAGTCATGAACTTTGTGTCCCATTGGCTTTGACTGACCCCCGTAAGCATCTTTCCGATGATGGCGAGAGTTTAATTATTTTATGTATGTATATACGAAATTACGAATTAACATTTGATCATTTGATCATGATGAATGATGATGTTGGTAGTACGTACGTTAACATGTTAATGATCGCCATGCACAATAATTGCTACATGACGAATTTGACATTTCCCACATTTTCGCTAAGGCCGGTGAATTTCCGAGCAGAAAGCCTGAAACTATATCTCAATTTCGTGTGAATTTTGCCTGAGGAAGACTTTAATTTGAGGGTTAGAAAAGTCGGCTACTCGTGTTTAGTTTAGAATCGTACCTTATAAAAAGAATAACTTAAAACAGTAGAGATGAGATTTCTAAACTTTCAAAGTGATAGTTCATCTCCTTTTTGGTCACAAATATGAAATATCCTCCTTCAACATGTTTGAACGAAATTTTTATGGGCCATGGGGTAGATGGATTTGATATATATATGTGTGTACTTCGCCAGTAGTCAAATCCCTAACTAAAATTAGAGGATAAGACATAAAAGAGAGTTATAATATTAATATCTTGACATAACACAGTGACATTGTCTCTATTTAAGTGATTCTACTTTATTGCATGTCTTTATTCTCAACTTGATTAATTGTATATGCGGTTTTCAAAAAGCCTTATCCCCCTCTTCTAGCTCTTGTTTTTATTCAACAAAATACTAGTATAACATAATCTCACCGAAATTAAAAAGACAAAATTAACTAGCTAGGGATGTAAAGTGGAGGGGCAGGCGGCAGGCCTGGCTTATTCAGTGATGACGACCGATCAAACTATTGTTGACGTGATTAAGGGATCCCCATTCTAATTAATAATTGCTTCCTTTAAACTAAGTTTGGTTTAGACACCTTTTAGGCTGTGACTATAAAGAATTTTGAGTTATAAACTTTATAAGAAAATTTTATTGCAAAAAGCTCGATACTTAGTTCCGACAAATTTGCGAGGTCTAATGAGAAGCAATATCAAAGTTTAGACATCACATAAGCATTTCTCAATTACCCCAAATAATGTTCGAGGAAAATAAATTTTGGCGCAAATTATTAGGTTTTCACTTTTCAACATTCTTCACTATGTCAATATTTTAAAAATAAAAAAACAAAAAAAAAAAAAACTTTTTTTCATTTCATGTGAAGTTCAATAAATTT